AAATATTATCCCCCTCCAACACCCCCTTTGAATTATAAGCACACCTTCGGAAATTTTAAATAACAAAAGGGGATGTGTGACACCGTGTTAGAAAGGATTTTAGTCCTCTGTTCAGAAATATAAAGTTTTTCAAGTTTGGTGCAATTATAACTGAGAAAAGTGATTTTTAAGATGTAAAATTTTGATAATGTCCCTATCACAAAACTTTAGGTTTAATGACGATAATAATTACACATAATATTTAGAATGTATTTTTCAAACTACTTTACAATTAAATTAAATGTTCAAAATGACCACCATTCACTTCTTAACAATAACCGAGGCGATTTTGTAATTCCGAGGGTACTTTTTTTTTTTTTGGCGAACCCTATTTTGATAAATAGGAAATTACCTTTCTACTTTGAATATTTTTCATGTAAGACTATAAAAGAAGAAGAAATTATGAATGAAAAATAATATTATAAGGAATACAAAATATTTATTATACAAAAATAAATAAAAGTAAGTAAGTAACTATAACTATTTCAATGTGAAGATTGAATTTTCTTACACATTTTCTTATAATAGTATTAAAATTAGGCTTAATGTCTGACAATTGAATACGCAGATCCGGAGCTGCATCCAGCCTATTCTGAACTTGTTTTTGGTATAAGCGTAAGCTGAAAAACCAGTCTCGCATCGGTAAGTTCTCACAAAAGGAAATAGAACCATGATAGCTTTCTCAACCATTGCGGGGTATGCATCTTTAAGTGCAATTCAAAAGTCATTCAGATTAGAATCTTCTGATTCGAATTTTTGTTTTAGAAGGGATGAATACTTAATGTCGATCAAATTCTCATACTCTGGCATAGTAAGCATCGATGGCTTGGTATGTTTTCTGAATGGATTCTGAAGCCAGTGAATGTCCTGTAACTTCTGCGGGCAATAATCTTTCGAGGATTTGAATTCTTCTCTTCTCTTGAAGGATCTTCTCTCCAGGAAGTTATTTAAAAGAGTAAAACATGGGTAATTTATTTGTTCCACATATTCTATACCGAAGCAAATTTTGTTTTTAAGGGACGATATTTTGTCTTTTACTTTAAATGTGGTTACTGTTCTTCCTTGTAGGGACTGGCAGAATACGTTGTTTGTCGAATATATCAGCTAAGTAAGCCAATATCATCAACCATTGCTCATCATGCAATAGTTCAACAAGCGTACTAACAGATACAGAAATGGATTGTTCAGCAAAGAATATCGTAAGCTCGTCGCGCAATTAAAATAATCTTGATAAAACTTTTCCTTTTGAAAGCCATCTTTTGTCGACATAGCTGCAGCTCCGTCCCTGCACACATCAATACATTTGTTCCAGTCAATATAGTGTTTAGTCATATAATTATCAATGACTTTAAAAATTTCTTCTCCTCTTGTGTGGTCTTCAAGGGTGTACAGAGAAACAAATCTTCTTCAATTGATCCTTCGAAGGGGTATTTCACGAAAAACAAGCAGTATTAATAACCCGGCGACATCTGTACTTTCGTCAAATTGTAAAGCAAACATCTCACTGTCTTTCAACCTACAGACTAATTCATCTTCTACATTCAGCACGAGCAATTCTGTAACTTACCAGGAATGATGCTTTTGTTGCGTATATATTATCTGTTTTAACATATCTCTGTAAAGCAGCCATACCGATTTTATGTACTTCTTTGTATCTTTCAAAAAAGTTTACACTTTTATCTTTCAGTTGCGGATGGTTGGTGTCAAGATGCCGTTTAAGCTTTGCAGGTACAAGAGAGCTATTGCACATAATTTTACTGCAAATAACGCATTGTCCAACTGGATTGTAAGCAATTCCCACAGGAATAAATCCGGAGGACAAGTAGGATTCATCATATTTTCTCTTTTTTGAAATAGTTCTCTCGTTAGATTCAGCCTTTTTGTTAGTCGGTGTATTTTGTCGGTCTTGGCCAGCACCAGGTTTTCCGTATTTACTTCCGTACTCTGTAATAAATTGTTAATGATCAGCAAATGACATTAATAAATAACCAGCAACAACAATAAATAAACTATATATAAATAAAAAACAACAAAAATATTAAATGAAAAGTAAAAGTGGTCATTGGTTTTTTTTGAACCTATTCTCTATCTTCCATGTGGTTGTCTCCCCAGTTCTCTCTTTCCCTATCTGAGCTTTCTCTGCCATGGACCCTTGTTCCTGATGTCATCTTTCCACCTCATCTGTGGTCTGCCTCTTGATCTCTTTGTATTGTATGGACGCCACTTTCCGATGGCATTGTTCCATCGTCCGTCTTGGAGACGTTCATTGTGTCCAGCCCATTTCCATTTCAGTTTTGCTGCTTATTCTATCGCGTCTACTGTCTTTGTTCTGGTTCTGATCCACTGGTTACGTTTTCTATCTTTAAGTGATACACCCAACATTTGTCTCTCCATCGCTCTTTGTGCCTTCCTTATCCTATCCCAATTGGCCTGTGTAAATGTCCATGTCTGTGCTCCGTAGGTGAGCACCGGTATTATACATTAGTTATATACCTTGCTTCGTAAGTATAGAGGGATTGTTTAATTTTTTAGAACGTAAGAAAGTTTGCCGAACGCTGTCCATCTCATTCTTACTGGTCTCAATCTTTAGGCTGTTTGATTTTCTCTGTTAGCTCTGATTGCTTGTCCTAGATAGATATATTCATTTACCTGTTCTATTTTTTCTGTTTTTAATTTTATTGCCTCTTGGTCTCCGTGTTTGTCATTACTTTTGTTTTGTTGAAGTTAATTTTTAGGCCTTTTTGCAGTGATTTTTCATGAAGTTCATTTAGCATTAATTCCAGTTTTTGTCGTTCCGAGGAGATCAGGAGTATATCATCCGCATATCTAAGATGATTTAGGTATTTTCCGTTAATACATATTCCTCTGTTTTCCCAATCTGTTGATTTTATTATGTCTTCGAGGGTCAAGGTAAACAGTTTAGGTGAAATTATATTGCCTTGTCGGACTCCTCGTTTAACTTTTATATTATCCGTTATTAATTTGTCGTTCAGAATAACGGTCATGGTTGCGTTTTGGTAAATATCATGTATCAATTGTCGGTATCTTGAATCTATTCTACTATTGACCAGAGCTTCTTCAACCGCCCAGTGTTCAATGCTGTCGAAAGCCTTTTCATAATCTACGAATGCTAAGTACAGCGGAAGGTTGTATTCATTGGTTTTAGATGGTCGATTGTGCTGTATTCTTTCCTGAATCCGGCCTGTTCCACTGGTTGGTAGTTATCAAGTTTATAGGTTAGTCAGTTGTTTGTTATTCTTGTGAAGGTTTTATATAGTTGTGACAAAAGGGAACTAGGACGGTAGTTGTTTAGGTCTGTTCGGTCTCCTTTCTTATGTATTAAGATTGTGTTGGCATTTCTCCATTGTTTAGGTATTTTAGCTTCAAACAGACATTTGTTGAACAGTATTTTTAGCATTTTTTTTATCGTGTCTCCTCCTTCTTTTAGCAGTTCCGCCAGTATTTTGTCCTCGCCGGCATCCTACCAATGTCCTCACGGTCATTGATAAGACTGTAATAATTAAGTAAGACTGTAAGTGTTAGTGAGAGCGCCCACCAAAGTGGCGTGGCACGTAGCAAGTGGCAAGTAGCACGCGTCTAGCATGTTTCTTAAAATGTAACCAATGAAACCGAATGATTCAGCGTACACCAAAATGACAGTGACGTCATTCATTCTAATCATTTGTTTTCATTGGTTACATTTTAAGAAAGATGCTAGACGCGTGCTACTTGCTACGTGCTGCTTGCCACGCCACTTTGGTGGCGCTCGCCCTTTTAGACTTAAATAGGTTAGGTGAATAAAACTTCCTTACAGATCAACCAGTAACGGCTTCTTCTGAAATATTTTCTGTAGACTCTGCTGGTAAATGTGATTGAACACTTTTGCTACTTGTAAGACGTTCCGTTTTAAGCCAATTATTCATTATTATAAACTGAAACAAAATGGAAAACCTAACTTTAATAAAACGTCACGATGCACACGACAGTTATTTTAATTGGTTCCTAAATCTCGATTAGTTACAAAATGTATACATTCGGTACTTGTTAAAAATAAGTAACACATCAAATTAAATCATTTGTATTTGATTTCGAACAGTGTCCTTAAAAATATTTACGAATAAGCAAAAACTTGCCGTACCGTTGCGATGCCCAACTCGTCCCACACAAGCAAGACTCACCAGAGCGCTCTCGTGACGCAGCTACAGCAGCGCCAGCACTCTTCACTGGTTGGGTAGCCGGTGGCTTACCCTCACCACTCAACCAAATGGTTTAACATGTTTTCAGCGCACCATACCGGGGTTTAAGGGAAAAGTTGTAATTAGATGTAGTTATCTAGTTATGAGTCTTTTCTACGAATGTGAATGTGTCATTTAACTGTCGAACGGACGCGGAACCCCTGCGCCCTTCTACGGAATCCCATGGTTGCGCGGTCCACCATTTAGGAACCGCTGTGTTAGTATTGTTACGAACATGCTTTCGTCATGGCTCATATAAACGGTTGCATCTCGAAACGGCTTCCAGAATCATCACCAGAACTCTCGAAGGCAAGAGAACAATCGGTCACGTGCGCGAATTAGAGGTGGGAACTTTCTAGAACATAGTAACTTAGGTATATATATGTAACGATCTTAGGAGTAAGTTTAGTTGACAAGATAGTACCGAACTGTAAAGTTATAAATAAATATATTTATATAAATTCGAACCGCTCGTTTATTTAAAAACGGTACAATATAATGTAGGTCTATAGTTTTAACTTGCAATAAAACAGATATTCATATGTAGATTTGTAGATACTCTAAATTTTGCCTTTACATAAGACTTCAATTTTAAAGTGTTTCCTGTCATATATTTCGTTGTCTTCGTTTTCTATTCTTTAGTTTTATTAATCTTATTATATTAGATATATTATAATATAATCTTAATAAAAACCATTTATTGATAGTGAATTATTTTTATTCCAGTTCTCTTCACACTATTAGGAACCTTATCTGTAAGTATATATGCATTTATGGCACTTAAAATTAACTAGATTAACATAAAACATTAATAGTTTTAACTGTTAAAAACTGTTTAAAATGGTAAAAAGTAATCATCAACTTTTGAATTACAATAATACACCCTTGATACTCCGACGTTTTGCAATCGGACACGCTCAGTAGTCCGACGCACCTGAAATTTTTCCATCAAAGGTTTTCAGTACTTTTTTCCACTAGGATCATATTTCGTTTTCATGCTATCATATTTTTAGGGTTTTTACTCCAGTCATCACAGACGAAAATGTCACTGAACCTTTAAAAATTATACAAATAAGCTGAATTTTACTGAGAATGTCAAATTGGGGATCCCAAAATATATGCAAATAAATTTACTACTTCTACCCCCGGCTGCACCCTAAAACCTCCCCTCATGTGAGGGAATCGAAAAAAAAAACGATTAATAATTATCAGCCATAAATCCTTTTTTTTATTATCAACATATTTCTGGTTTACTAATAAATGTGATCCCTAAATACTCAAATTTTAAATTTTTTTATCTATGTTGTTCCTTCTTCTGTTGCTATTGCCACGTTACATTGTTCATACTTATTTTCTGTTCACGCCAGGTTTTTGGTTTTTAATTTATTAATAATTATACGTTTTTTGCTTCTTTTACATATGGCTCAACAACCATTGTCTACTTCTGACTAGTACTTTTATATTATTTAATGATTTAGGCGCAAGAGGGTTATAACTATCCAACACCTTCAAGACCCTTACCAGAAGGACCACAGCGGCCAGGAGAACAAGGCAGGCCAGGGGGACCTAGACGGCCACCTGGCCAAGCGGGAGCACCAGACGGAGGATATCCCAGTGGAGCAACTAGACCTGGACAGCAAGATCAATCCGGTTATCCTGGAAGGGGCAGACCATCGGGTCCCGAATTTACTCCACGACCTCAAGGTATGAAACAGTTTGCATTAAAAATATTCGCGAAGTGCTAAAAAATATAAAATAGCTAGTGCTTTAGTCGTTTTTAAAATTAGACCAATAATTTGCTAAACACTAAAAATTTTAACTTTTAAGTTTAATACCGATCAAAATTCATCTGTGTGCAGTTCTTTTTTTTTTGCAAGTCGAATTTTCGTAAAAATACAAATCCGTGTTATAAAAAAGAATTTTCTCCGCAGCCTTTCAAGCATTTCTTATGCATAGAACACCATACCAAATGCCAAATGTGTCAAAAATGCATGAAAAAAATTCTTTAAAAATTGACTTAAAATTTTATTGAAGGTACTACAAATCACAAAATTTATTCCAGCTTAATAAATTCAATGTTTATCATCATCATCGTTTAACCCGGATCTATCTACTGCTGGATATAGGTCTCCCTCAGTCTTTTCCATGTATTTCTGTTTTGTGCTGTTTGCATCCAATTTTTGTCGATCCGTTTTATGTCATCAGACCATCTTGTTGGTGGACGACCTCTACTTCGATGTGCTTCTTGTCTCGGTCTCCACTGTATTATTCGCTGTGTCCATCTGTTATCCGACATTCTAGCTATGTGCCCCGCCCAGTTCCACTTAAGGGTCATAATTCTTTCTATGGCATCTGTCACTCCTGTTCTCCGTCTTATTTCCTTGTTCGTGATCCGATCCCTACGAGAAATGCCTAACATCGATCGTTCCATGGCTCTTTGGGTAACACAAATTTTATTTCTTACTTTCTTGGTTAGTGTTAATGTCTCTGCACCATATGTAAGTACTGGCAACACGCACTGATTAAAGACTTTTCTTTTAAGACACATAGGCAGTTCTGATTTAAGAACATAGCTCAGCTTGCCGAATGCCACCCAAGTGAGTCCTATGCGGCGGCTTAGTTCGCACGTTTGATTATCTCTTCCTATGCGTATCTATGTCCTAAGTACTTATAAGAGGTTTCTTCGCAGTTGATATCTCTTCATGCGTATCATATGTCTAAGTACTATAAGATGGTTCTTCAATATCATGCCATTTACTGAAATCTTTTCACTTAACACAAGATTTGTCATGATTTGTGTTTTTGTCTGGTTGATTTTTAATCCAACTTGTAGGGAGGCTAGGTATAGTTTCTCCAGTTGCGATACTGCATCATCGATTCTGTCAGCAAAAAGGACAATATCGTCAGCAAACCTCAAATGACTAAGCATTTCTCCATTGACATTAATTCCTTTTTCACTCAGATTTGCGTTCTTAAACATATGCTCTAATAATGTTGTAAACAATTTTGGCGAAATTGTGTCTCCCTGTCGCACTCCCCGTTTTATTTTAAATACGTTGGTCTTTTTATCTGCCAGTTTCACGCTTGCTGTCCCATTTTGATAGATGTATTTTATCATGTTTATATAGCGATGATCTATACGGCACTCTGTTAAGGCTTTTAACATCTTTTGATGACTTATTGTGTCGAAAGCTTTTTCGTAGTCAACAAATATCATGACTAGTGGCTTGTTATATTCAACACTCTTTTCTATTAAGTTCTTAATTACTTGTAAATGATCATTCTTGCCATATCCTGCTCTAAAACCTGCTTGCTCTGTTGGTTGATAGAAATCCAACTTACTTCCTAGCCTGTTGGTAATAACTCTTGTAAATAGCTTATATACCTGTGACAACAAGCTAATGGGGCGGTAGTTTCTAAGGTCGCTGATATCTCCCTTCTTATGAAGTAAGATGATTTCCGCGTTGTTCCACTGCGTCGGTGTTATCGCTTCGCACAGACATTTATTGAACAGTTTAGCAAGTGTCAGTAAGAGCTTATTTCCTCCTAGTTTTAGGCTTTCGGTCATTACCCTGTCTTCACCTGGGGATTTATTGTTCTTCATCACCCGAAGCGCATTTTTTAATTTCATCAACAGTTATGTTCGGCATTAATTCTGAGTCTTGATTCTCTATCTTTGGTAAAAGGCGTCTTTCATCGGATTCACTTGTTTCATAGAGTTGTCTTCACCTGTAGAAGTCTTCCACTGTTTTCACTATTTCTTCCTTATCAGTCACAATGTCGTCTTGTTTATTTTTTAACTTATGTATGTCCTTTTTTTGTGTGGAAATGTTGTGTCTTAGAACTTTCAGACTTCTATTTTTCTCTATCACCCTTGTCACCTCTCTCATGTTATGTTGCCGTATGTCTTTTCGGATTTCTTTGTTTTGCTGAGTTGACTAAATTCTGCGTAGTTTGTGTTATACCTGTCCTTTAGCCTTTATCCAAATTCAATGTTACCTTTACACATTTCAGTGATGAAGATAGTTTCCGGTTCGCTGAATCAGTTTAATGAGCCCGGCTAAAGCATATACGAAACTTTAACACTACCACAAAATATGGTTGGAGTCTACCTTTATGCCACTTCCAAAAAAACCTCAAAAAATACATCATCATATAAAGACTTTAGACTAATTAGTCTTATGAGTCTCTGTCAAGCTACTTTTTATCATAATTAATCATAGAATCAAGCAGAAATGTTAAGACACAATGGGAAATAAACAATTCGATTTCAGAGAAGGATTAAGAACAAGGGAAGCTTTATTCTCAATGTTAACACTACTTCAACGATCATGGGAAGTACAGAAACCAATTAACGTCTGTTTTATAGATTTTTGAGAAGGCTTTTGATAGGGTTCAACATGGTAGGCTGTTTGAATATCTAGAATATCTGCATTGTCGACATATTCTTAGTTGATCTCATTGAGATGTCGCCCATGCAGAGCTGTTTATCGAGTTGCTCACCTATGTCCGTAAGTCTCCTACCTCCTTGATATTGCTTTTTTATCGATTTTTTGGCTCCTTTTGTGAAAGTGTGTGCTTTTTGTGAGAAGTCCACAGGGTATTATTATTATTATTATTTGGTTGGTTTTATATAGGTAAATTAATGAAATGTTTTGATCCAGTTAGTGCATTATTTCTTTCTATACTAAAATATTTGAAAAATTTGAAAAAAAGCTGGAGATATAGTGAGAAAAAAATTTGATATCGAATAAAATTTTTGTTTATAACTTTAAGGACCTGGTGATAGATATCTTGAACCGGAAGCACCTAGTGGTGGATACCCTAGTGGACCTCAAAGACCTGGTTCAGGTGAGTGTTAAAGTACAAGTAATTGTTTTAAATATTTATTTTTTATAAAATATAAAGATAAATTGTTTTACAATTTTTACAACTTACTACATGCAAACGAAGTAAGAGATTCCTCTGTTTATATAGCTATTGCCTAAAAGCTATAAATTCAAGAGAACAAGGATTTAAAAAAAGGACGATTGTTAAAAATTTAGGACTCAAATTTTGTTGTCTAATAAAAACCCAAAAGTTTTGCAGCCATGCTGGTTTTTGAACACAACCATAAGGAATATTAAAATTACTCTAACAATAACGAGAAAACTATTCAATATAAAACAAACAGCAAAGTAAGATTTTTCTCCTTCGTTCTGTTAAATATATATCATTAATACTGTCGCTTTAAGCACGTTCAACGGCTTCCAGAAGAATTAGAAATGGAATAAACATACACATATATGTCGTCCATTGTTTCTTTGCGACTCAATTGTTAGCCAGATGCACGTGATCAAGAGAAATTATTCAGATAAAATAATGGCATAATAATCCAATCGCATGTAAAAAGCTTTGCCTCGCCCCTATCTACAGGCCATCTTTGGATCTAGGAATTCCGAAAACAGTCAGCCGCACAGATAAAATGCTCGATCTGTACATACCATTTCAGTATGCGAACTTTTAGTCAGTCAAACAGTTTTTCGGGTGTCGGATACATTGAAATTTTGTTCCATTTGAAAAACTTTTGTGAATGTCATTTAATTTCTTTATCTTCATGAATGATCACTAAAAAGAAAATAAATCAAATTTGTAAAAAAAAGGGATTTTAACATAGTAAAATTTCAGTGAATTATATTAATATTAATTTATATACATAAAACAAAATAATTTGATAATTTTTTTTTAATTTTTATTTTATAATAATCAGTGTTAATTTTTATATAGTTCCTGGAAAACAAAATGGATATGCCAGCAGACCCAGTGCTACACAGGGTTATCCCAGTCAACAAGGAGGTGATCAAGGCTACCCTAGTCAACCAGGAAGTGAACAAGGATATCCAAGTCAACAAACAGGGGGCCAAGGTTACCCAAGTGCACCAGGTCGCGATCAAGGATATCCAAGCCAACCAGGACGGGATCAAGGATACCCAAGTCAACAAGGAGGTAGTCAAGGTTATCCAAGTGCAGCAGGCCGCGATCAGGGATACCCAAGCCCGTCAGGACGTGACCAAGGTAAACCAAGTCAACCAGGTACAAATCAAGGATATCCAAGTACACCAGGACGTGATCAAGGATACCCAAGCTCTTCTGGCCGAGATCAGGGTTATCCAACACAAGAGGGAAAAAATAAAGGTTATCCAAGTCAACAAGGAGGAACTGGAGGTTATCCCAGCCAACAAGGCTATCCCAGCCAAACAGGAGGTCAAGGTTATCCAACTCCACAGGGTGGCGATCAAGGCTATCCCAGCTCACAAGGCGGTTTTCCGAATCGAGGAGATGGTGGACAGAGATTTCCTGGTGAACAAGGAAGTGGTCAAAAATATCCAGGTAGCGTCCCAAGCAGTCAAGGAACGCCAAGTTCTCAAGGTTTTCCTGGTCAGCAACAAGGGTTTCCTGGGCAGGGAGGTCAGTTTTCAGAGAGTGAAAGAGGGCAGCAAGGACAAAGCGGATTCCCAGGTCAAGAAGAGGCTGGCTTTTCTGGACAGGGTGATCAGGGACAATTTGAAGAAGGAGATTACTCCGCAATACCTGGAGAACCTGATAAAGATTATCCAATATTTTCTGAAATTCCCCAAACCTCATTCAGCTGTGACCAACAACAATATCCTGGATATTATGCCGACGTTGAAGCAAGATGTCAAGTATTTCATATCTGTGCCAATAATAAAACTTATGACTTTTTATGTCCTAACGGGACAATATTCCACCAAGAATATTTGGTTTGTGTTTGGTGGAATCTTTTTGATTGCGATTCTGCGCCATCACTGTATGACAAAAACGCAAATATTTACGATTACTCAATGATAGGCACAGGAGGTCGTCCAGGTGCAACATTTGGAGGTGAATACCAACCGCAAGGTGGAGAGCAAGGATATTCCGGTCAGCAAGGAAACACTGGATACGAACAAGGACCTGGAGACTATTCTGGGGGACCTACGCAGCAAGGATATCCTTCTGGTCCTGATGGGGACCTCAAAGTGGTTATCCCAGTGGAAGACCTACTACTGGAGGAAGACCTCAAGAAGCTAGTCAAAGACCCGGTAGCAATGAGCGACCTCAAAGTTCACCTGGATTACAAGGGTCACAGCCAGGATATCAAAACGGCGGATATCCAAGTGGAAAGCCTCAAAGACCTGGATATCCTGCATTTGAACAACCCGGCGAGCAAGAAAGTTCTACGGGATATCCAAGTGGAAGACCGCAGCAACAAGGAGGTGGTTATCCTGGAAGACAACCTCAGGGCGGTCAAGATCAATTTGGTTATCCTGGAAGAGAGCCTCAAGGAGGACAAGATCAATTCGGAGGACGTCCAGGGCAATCGCCGCAAGGTCCAAATGGTAGACCAGGCTTCACTCCTAGACCTAGTGGACAAGAGCCGAGTGGTGGAAATACGGGATATCCTAGCTTAGAACCAGGTTAGTAATATGATCGAGTACGAATGAATATTCTGTACGTTTTAATTTTCATGGATTCTAGTAAAAGTAGTATAAGCTTGTTATTTTGGACATACATTAAACTTACATGTACATAGTTCATAAACATTACAATTCTTAAAATAATTCTCTATTCTAACAGAGAATTCTATCTAATTCTAACAGAATTTAAAACTTGTGAAGATTGTTCAAAAATTAGCATTGATCAAACGTTATTGAACAATTAAAAATGAAAATAATATATTTGACAGTGGACAAAGATGGATGCATATTGAACCCTTCAATTTTTGTAAATATCTATTAAACAAGTAATTTTCATTGTTTCGTCTAAAAACTTATTTTTATTTAATATCGGTTGAATTGATCAAAAAGTCATATTAATATTGACAGTAATTTGTTTATTTTTCTCAACAGGTTATCCAACGACCACACCAACCTCTGGTTCAACACAAGAAGGAGGCGGATATCCAAGTGGTAGGCCTAGTACAGGTTTTCCCGGAGCAAGGCCTCAAGAACCAATGAGAGGTTATTTACCTCCATACCAATAATTTTTCCATTAGTACCTCGATGTTTCCATAATTTGTATATTTTAAATGTATTTATATATAAGTAACAACTGTAGATAATATATATTTTATATGAATAAATATTGTGAATAAAACAATAACTTAAAACATTAGTTTCAATATATGCTGTCAAAACCGTATGCTAAGATCCCTATATCGATGGCCTGGTTCCAGAAGTGGCTAACTACAAAATCGCCTTTTTCCTTTACCAATTTTCGCATTCTAGTCGCCCATAATAATAGTTATATCTTCTTTTGTAATTTGTTTAAGTAAATTTATCAACAACTCATAAAATTGATCTATCTCTTCTTCAGGTTTATCGCTGGTTGGGCATACACTTGTAAAACATTTAATTTGACCAGAGTAGAATTCAGTTGGATTATTACTAATCTTTCAACATTTGTAACATATTGACGTAATTGAGGAGATGCGATTACTTCAACCCCATATGAATGGTATGAAGTTTTCCAGCCTGATACATTGTCTTTGCCCCGTCTTGAAGATCGCCCTGAAGGTGCCAGAGTCAATGGAATCATCATTAACAATGTAAGATATGCCGATGACACCGTAGTATTAGCAGAAACAGAAGACCAACTAAAAATATTGATGAACATACTATCAGAAGAAAGTCACAGACTAGGTTTGGATATTAATCTTTCCAAAACCAAAATCATGGTATTCCACAAGAACCCCCATGAACAAATTACACCCAACATACAAATCAATGGTATCAGCCCTTCAGAGCTCCCAAAGCTTCATATACCTGGGCAGAGAGCTAAACAGTCAGCTAGACCACTCAAAAGAAATTAGAAGACGTATTGAAATAGCAAGATCTGGCTTCATGAACATGCGTAAAATGCTCTGCAACCCCAAGCTATCAATCACAATAAGGTTAAGAACACTAAAGTGTTATGTGTGGTCTCTACTACTATATGGCTGTGAGACCTGGACATTAAAACAGTATGACGTCACAAACTGAATTCATTCGAGATGTGGATGTACCGCCGAATGCTAAGAATAAGATGGACCAGCAAAACTACAAATGAAGAGGTACTGGAAATAATGAACACACGACCTCATCTGGTTAATACAATCAAAATTAGAAAGACGTCATATCTAGGACACATAATGCGCCATAAGGAATTTGAGCAGCTCCAGGTAATATTAGAAGGCAAAATCGAGGGTAAAAGGGGTATAGGAAGAAAGAAGAAATCCTGGCTCCAAAACATCAGAAATTGGACTCACACAACAGGAAATGACTTAATCCATCAAGCCCAGAACAGAGAGAAATTTGCCATATTGATCGCCAACCTCAATAGAGAAGGCACTTAGGAGGAGGAGGACATTGTCTTCACATTACAGGTACATATTTTGATGTGACATACCTGATATTAATACAATAACAAGAAGAGCCGAAGAAGGACCCTGTTCAATTTAATATTTCAACCTTTATGTATGGCAACACTGTAATAAAAGTTTGCCTGTCATTTTTTATGTCAACTGTCGGAAGACGAAGACATATCTCCTCTCCATTAGCGAGGCAATATACACGCTAGTCTATCGATGTCAATTTTTTTCCACCCTAATTTTGTTGTTTGTAAATAGTAAGTAAATAAGTGTAAATAAGTAAAATAGTTTGCGAACTACTCCTCTCTTGTCTTCAATATTTCCCTGGATGATTAGTTGAGGGTTTGGTACCATACCATCTGTCCATGGTATGCGGAACATTCTTCGCAACGTCCACATTTCGAAGGCCTCCAACTTATTAATGGAAGGTACTATTAACGTCCATGTTTCCATGTCGTATAACAGTATGGACCATACATAGCATTTAACCATCCTGTAGCGGATGGTTATATTTCCTAATTTACAATAAAAAACAATTTAAATTTAAACAGATTCTTAGGCATAATCCAACCAACATGAAAGCCTACATGCTCCATAGCGTATGGCACAAGAAGAAGAAAGTTAAAATCGTTTGCTTTATTGATTCTATGTTTGGCCCTCCCTATTTACTTTATCCTCCCTGGTATTGTTGATTGTATAGATTAGTTAATGCTTTCTGTTTTAGCTTTTTTAGCTCTCTTTTTTGGCTACATTATACATTTAAAAATCTGTGTCTCACCTATTTTCTTGCCACTCTTCATATAGTTCTCCCTTCTCCTTTATTTTTTCTACGAGATCGTATATTTTGAGATGTTAGTAAATCGAAATTCTATTAGTTTTTAAAATAATAAAACGGTATTGAAATGTTTTAAATTTATTTTAAAGTAACATGTACATTGTACGATTGTAAATACATTCTTATAATTACATAGTTGTATATATGGTTGTATAATGAAATTGAATATTATAAAATGTGTAAGATATTAATAGTGGCACTAATAAAGTCCGTGTATAAAATCATTCATTAAAGTTGGTTATGAATGATTATAAAATTTGTATACCTATAACGTCTAGCGAAAAATTATCCGGATTCCGGATAGCGAATGATTATCATTTTACCATTATAAGTTTTAAACAGCATAGTTAGTATAACAGCATAAGGTAACATTTGATAGTTAGTATTTTATATTTCACCCTCAGGTAAAAAGTGTTTAGAAAGTAAGACCAGCCTCTGAGTAGGTTTGGAAAATCTTCTGAACGGAGTTGATGTAAGCTGCGCTTCTTAAATCGAGACCAAGGTTGTACTGACTGGCGGTTTTAAGGATAGCCTGCAAAAATAATTACTTGTTAGAAAAAAAATACACGTCAAGTAACTTGGATGAAAACATCATTATATGATCCGTCAAAAATTCAAAATTTAACACAACACAGTGGTCCAAATGAGTGGCTCAGAGGCAAAGGTGTCTTGCCACAAAAATTTCTTTCGTTGGGTTAAACTTAAGGCCGATCCTCGCGATTCTGGGCATAGGTAAATTTCAATGTAAAAGTTTATATCAAATAATGCAAAAACTATGGCAGATATTGAGATGATTCTTTTTTTATATGGAAGGTCTAAAAAAGTTCTAGTGCACTATTTGGTTGTAAATTAATAAATTGTTTAAACAATATTTTTTTTTCAAATATTTTTGGTTAAAATAAACGTAAAAATTTTTTTTTTGAAATAGGGCACTACAGAATTTGACCCACTTTCCGAATCTGTTTTTATTTTTAACATAAAGTGTAACACAAAGCAGCTATTTGATATAAACTTTTAAAAAATTTCAAATTTCTGCTAAATGCAATTTTCTCTCCGTCAGCACAGGGTGTCCTTGTCGGTAGCTTCTGGATTCTCGCCAGGTAGGTAAAACCTCGGAGGAGGATAAATAAAGTTGAATAACATTATTAGGGCTTATTTCGACTTTTAACAAACCAGTGTGTTTATTGTATTTAAAATAGCAAATTTTATATAAATAAGCAGTAAGTACCTTTAATTTTATTAAATTTTTATATGAATAGAAATATTTTCTGTTGATTTTCCATTTTCCTTCTAAATATTTATACTGTTTTTACAATAATACAATTGTTTCAGTATTTGCTTATATAATAATAATTTATTATATAGAAACAGCGTAGAGTTTTGGTCAATCATCCAGTACATTTTTTTTTGTATTTCAATCAGAATTATTATTTTCTTTTCTTCTTTACATGAGCTCAGAGTAATAACCAAATATTTTGCAGTATTTGAATATGAAATTTAATTATTTATATTTATTGCTCAGCAACCTACCAATCGTAAAATCAAATACTGCTCAAAGAAACAATGTACAGTCTCGGAACTGGATTGATACTATGAAGACGACTACGGCAAGAAATAAGGACAAGCGAAAAACATCCAAAACCCAGATGAGAATTACTTGGAATATCAGATCACTCAACTCAAGGGACCAAGAAATAACCCAAGTGTTGAAAGAGAAAGAAATAGACATGTGTGCTCTACAGCAAACAAAAAATAAAGGAAAAGGTCATTCAAAATTAGGTGAATACATACTAATCTACAGTGGAGTAGCAAAAGAAAACAGGGCCAAAGAAGGTGTAGCCTTACTAATACACCAAAGGTATCAAAATTACATCAAAGAGTGTCAATACATATCAGAAAGAATAGTAACATAAAAGATAAGAATGGAGAAGGAAAACCTGAACATTATCGGAGTATACGGCCCAGAAAATAATAAGCCTCAAACAACAAGGGAAGTGTTTTACGACCAATTACAACAAGTAGTAGATCAAGTCAAAGAAAAGATGATAATTCACAGCTAATTTCATTATAATAATTAAGGAACCTCATTTTTTGCCATGTTAAGGAATGGGATTTGTATTTTTTGTTAAAAAATTTGCACAAACATTGTACCTTTACAGGACCCTCTACGAATTTTCAAAAATGTAGTTCAAATGGTGACTAGGAAGAACCTACAAATCCATACCTAACAAGCAATTTCAAACTAATAAACTTTTCTATATCTCTGGATCTACTCAATGGATTTTGATCATTCTTTTTTTAATTTGTATGTAATTTCTACGTACATTACGAATTAGTAATTTGTTTATATATTAATTAATTAATAAATAGTCTAGTTTGTTTAAACAATTCGTGCAAAACAATTTTCTTCCAAAAATCTATTTTTTTAATACCAGTATCAATAAACATAAAAACAGTCGCGTTTTTTGCATTAAATTGTCAATAATTAAAAAACAGCTCCAGATTCAAGGCAAGATTCAGATTCAAGGCAAGAAACAAGTAGGTTTTTTTCCTAGAGGTCTACAATAACTAAAAAAGTTGTCAGCGACCTGGATTATTGAGTGTCACGAACATGGTCTATTTTTTGCTTATTTCCCTGGAGTATATATTTGACTAACATCTGTGTAATTTCTTTGTCGCTTCCTTGTCGGTTTTGCACATTGCTATGATAGCAATATCTTCGGTAAATGTTGCAATTGTATATTTTCTAGGACAATAATACAACACGTATACAAAAGGTAAAAACACTTCTTTGTGGCAGCCCTGCTGTAATATCTGTCAATTCCATGTATGTTTCTTCATGTTTAATTCTGAAATATCTTTCCAAGATGCAGGAGTCAATTATTTGAGAGTATCGTTTTGGTAAATGTAGTCTTAGTTTATAGTTATGGCGTCTTTGCCATACTTTATCATATACCTGATTCACATCCTAAATTATTGATATAAGGTTGAATGCTCGAATAAATGAACTTTAAAAAATAAAGGCAAATTTCGAGCACAAATTTAATAATCAAATCTTGCCCAGGTACTTTCGCTTTCTACAGCATCATCAGGGCATCTGCGCTTGCTGGATAGCCCAAATTTGACGAAGTAAGTCTAAAATGTTAATCACAAAAAACTTTTATCATCCATTAACTTCGAGTTTTTTATCGAAGTTTATTAATTTTCTTCATTTAAAAAAACTTTTCTTGGCTTATTTCAGATGCCCCTGATGATGCTGTAGAAAGCGAAAGTACTTTTGCAAGATTTGATTATTAAATTTGTGCTCGATATTTGCCCTAATTTTTCAACGTACATCCTAAAATGTCCATCATATTATCCTTCATGATCCATTTCACATCCATATAATAGTTATTTCATCATCATCATCATCATCATCAATGGCGCTACAACTCTTCGTAAGTCTTTGCCGCGGTTACTATTGCCTTCCATGTTTGTCGGTCCTGTGCCAGTAATTCCCATTGTCGCACTCCCATTTTCTATAGATCTAGAAGTATAGTTACATATAACAAATTAAATCCTTAGTTGTAAATTTTTGAAATAAGTACTCAGTATACATCTAAGTTTCATTAATGCTCCTCATAAATCTCATAAATCTAAACTTTTGTACTCCGTTCTTTATTGACAATTAGTTGCATAGGGCCGACGTTTACTAACCACAAGCACACAAGTAAATTAGTCTGTTAGATTAGCATTGTAAGAAGTAAATTAGTCTCTTACTGAATGATAATAAACAACACATCAAACTTATTCTGAATAGAGAATACTGTTAGTTTGCGGTATGGACCCCAAAAAATATTTTATTCCAAAAGATTGATAAATATATGGAACTGTGGGAAAATATGCTACAAAAATTTCAAGATTTTTATTATAATTTTTATTTGAAACACCTTCTGAAGAAACATTAGACTAATTCTATATTTATATAGTTTCATTTTATCAATTTTAATGATCGTGATACTAATTAGATAAGATTTTTATTATAATTTTTATTTGAAACACCTTCTGAAGAAACATTAGACATAATTCTATATTTATATCGTTTCATTTTATCAATTTTAATAATCGTGATACTAATCAAATTTTTATGATATATAATAATAATCTTTTTTTATAATTTTTATTTTCCGTAAACTTTAATCTACGTTAAACTTCAGATTAAGCCAATTTTTCCGTAAAAAAAATAACAAATAAATTATGTATGTACATTTGTTACATTGTAAATTTATGAATAGATTATATTACTTTGATCTGTTATTATATTTACTCAAAACACCACTAAAGAGATTTATGGTCTTATTGTAGCCAAAACCTGTCACTGCAGGGGTTGTCTCGGTGTATAATGGGCTCGAGTAAAAGGTAAACGCATTTTTGACCTGGGCTTGAGAGAGATACGAAGTTTAGAATATTACTTCATGACAGATTTGTTTTCGTAAAGAAAGAAATTTTTGAAATAGAGATAGCAAACTGAAATTTACCGTTAGGATTATCGAGGATGAGCCTTAATAGGTGCTTATAATTTCTGTAAAAATATAATTTTTGTTGGTATGGTGTCCCCATCTGTAAACTGGTTTTCGCACTAACAAAATATCATAGGAAGTTTGCGGCAAAACTGCCTAACCAACAAAAAGATGGCGGATGTAAACATGAGCAGTGACGCATCAGAGCCTTTCGGATCCGATTTCAGCAATTATAATCACAGTTCTTCAAATACCAAGTCTTTAGGTAAGACAGTAACAGTATTATTAATATTTAAATATAAAATCAGCAGGATGATCCTTACATACACAATTATAAGCACATGTGGCTTAGGCTGTTTTGCCGCAAACTTATTTGAAATATATTTTTTATTGTTCTAGACGGGAATAATGATGATTCGAGTAAAAAAATCAATAAATGAGTTGTCGAACACTTAGAATCAAGACAATGATGAACCAGAAGGCAAATTGCATCAAAACTCCAGGAAGAGAGTAAGAAATCTTGAGAATCATGCAAGGTATAAAAGGAAGATAGCCAGGGAGAAAGGAGAAGAAAATGTCACGGAAGAAGTAAAACGTAAAAATGCTAAAGAACTCGTAGTTGGACCATGTTCGTGCAAAATGAGGTAACGCATGAGTGTGAGAGTAAAAATGGTGAAGTATGAAAATTTGTAACGAACGAAAGCAAAGCATCTTTAAAAATTACTATTCGCTTAACTGGTCAATAAAAAATGCTTATTCAAGGTCAAATAACAGTAGACAAAAGACAAAAAGAGAACTTATACCCAAAATCAAAATTCACGTAGGTCTAAAACTCGTGTAGTAGTGGTGGTATGTAAGATTTTTTTAAAGATTTTTTTGAAAGTTTCCATTACAGATGGAAAAATTTTAATAGCTTTAACACGAAAACAAGAACATGGGACACCTCTTCAAGATGAAAGGGGCAAACATCCACCCCATAATAAAACCAATATTGAAGACGAGCAGTATTTATGGGCTTCATTGGACTGTTCCC